AATAATGTAATAAGAAAAAAAGTGTTAACATTTAAAAAAATATTTATTCTTAAAAATAATTTAAAAAAGTTTTCTTTTAAAACATAATGTAAGATGTCTCTTCGCAAATTGTTAAGTTGCAACAAGTTTCGTAAGGTAGATGCACACACGCTTTATTCATTTTTAGGTACTCAAAGTAACATTTTTATTTGAGTTTATATTTGGTCCTAACAAAAAAACAATAACTCGAATAAAATTGAAATAAGTATTTTTAATATTTGTTATTATTATATTTTCTAATGCTATTATTCAAATTATATATTTTTAAATAGTTTTTAAGTTATAAGGACATATTTTGAAAAGCATGTAGATGGGGTTAATTGAGACAAGTGATCCAATTTACCCAAATACTAGACGCTTTATACAAAATGTTAATTTTTCTGTTATTTATTTAATTTAGAATGCGTAAATAAAAACAAAAAACTAACAGATAGATTTTTATTTTAAATTAAACAATTGTTTTATTTTTTGTTTTGATAATATTATATTTTATTGTGTTATGTGATAATATTATATTTCATTGATTTGAAAAATGTGAAACTGCCAAATTTGACAATGTTTTATACAAGGTGTCCTATAGCAAACCTTTTAATGGCAGATTCCTGGGATTATTTGGAGACGATTTTTTCTCAACGAAAGTGTCGAGACATCAATAATTTTCGAGTTATAAGCGATTAAAAATAAGAGGTTTTTTGCAAACTAAGCTTTGTGGATACAATATTAACAAAATCACATTCTTTTATTAATTTCATGTAGAGTTTATTTTAATAAAATTTTAATTTAAGGTTGAAGGGGATGCTGGAGTGATGACCAAACTCCGACGGATAATTTGAGAAATTTTTTGTTTTTTTCCTTTTTTATCGACAAAATATGAGGTTAGATAAACTATAAATCTATTTATTGGCTATACGGATTTCTTACGCGAAATTAGAACGCTCCGCATTTTATTAATTTCTTGATTACAGAATAAAAATTCATAATTCCGTAATCAAGAAATATGAAACTATACAGATTGATAAATCTTTTTCCTGTACAAATTAAAGTATTAATATTAACAAAGTGCGAAGCATTCTAATTTCAGGTAAAAAACAATCCGTATAGCTAATAAATATATTTATAGTTTATCTACTCTCATATTTTGTCGATAAAAAAGGAAAAAAAACAAAAGATTTCTCAAACCATCCGTCGGAGTTCGGTCGTCACTCCAGCATCCCCTTAATTATGAAGGTACACAATGGCAAAAATTGAAAACATGCAAAAAATGATAGCCTCTCTCGACATTTTCACCGAGGAAAAATCGTCTTTAAATGATCCCAGAAATCTGCCATTAAAAATTTGTTATTAATTTTGGAACACCCTGTTAACCTTATTAAAATTCAGTAATGTTTCATCATTCATTTTGAATATTTTCTGTTGTTCACCTCTTTGCCCAATATATCTCACACGTTAGCGAGCTCAACCTACCCCGCTAGTGGGGAACAATGGGTCACTCTGACAATCTTTATTTGAAATTTATTTTTTTGTTTTCGATGTATATTTAAAATTTTTGCATGAATATAATTAAGAACCTGAATGTAGAATCTCTCATTTAGTACTATATTTATAATCATATTATAAATAGATAAATTTTTATAAAACTACAAAAAAAAGTTGTTCAACTAGCCCAGCTTTACCCTACTTCCAACAAACTAAATCAAAAATATGAAATCAACAATTAGCCAAGTACTTAAGAGTATATTTCAGTTTCTAAGGATTTGTAGTTTAAAATAGTATAAATAAAATTAAAATGCATTTTAATTTTATTAAGAAAAATTTGATTTTTAAAATTAATTCAATCCTCTAAAAATAAAAAAAATAAAATATGAAATATCAATTAAAATTCCTATTCGCTTGTGTATTGTATAAAACAACTAATGTATTCAAAAAAGGCCAACTTATCGAGCAATACGTGAGATGTTGTATCCAATTAAAATTTATTCCATATATATCTTAGACAATAAACAATATATTAAAAAATACATTTTATCTTCATTATCATCAATTATAACTGATTTGGTCATGCAGGATCTAGAGGACACGGTTTTTACCGACACTTGGTAAATTGTTAAATTTAAAATGCACGTTTTACGTTACATAGACGATATAATACTGACCACTTCTACGACCAATACAAGTCGGATAGTCAGTAATTTTAATAATTATCATTATAGACTAAAATTTACAGTAGAACAGGAGGTTAACCGCAGCTTAAATTTCTTAGACTTATCAATAAAAATTATGAACAATATAATATATATATATATATAGATTAGTACCAAAAAGAAACCTTCTCAGAAAGAACTCTATCATTTTTTTCTAATCATTCACAATGTCACAAAATTGAAATAATTTATAACTTAGTAGATAGATGTTTGCTATTATCACACCCACAATTTTTTAATAAAAACTTAGAGGTAGTTATTAATATACTTATAAGCAACGGTTACCCCCTGGATCTTATTTTTAACAAAATCAATCATCGAATAGGATACCTCATTGCTAAAAAAAGCATTGGAAAGACAAACAAACATAGAAAGAACAGAAAATACAATAAAAGAATTAGAAACAAAAAACTATTTGTTATTCCATATATAAATAGGGTCTCTGAAATGATTGTCTCCTCGATAAAAAATACAGAATTTTTAGTAGGATATAGATGCCTTAATAAACTTGATAAAATTATTAAAACACAAAAAGATAAAATTAAACATCCTTGTAATTCCAATGTAGTTTACAAGATTAATTGCAATAATTGTAATGCATCTTATGTGGGCCAAACGAAGAGACAATTACAGACGAGATTGAAAGAATACAAAAATAATATCAAGTTGGATTCGATGAGACACTCGGTAATTTCTGAACATATTAAAGAAGAACACCATACATTCAATTGGGATAATGTATTGATTATGGATAAAGAAATTAATTATCATAAAAGACTCATCTCAGAGATGTTACACATTAAAGAACAAAAAAATGGATTAAATTTAAATAAAGACACTGAGCTTCTTAGCGAGTCCTATTATGATATTTTAGACAAACTAGCAAAAATAAAATAATAATAAGACAAATAGGACATCAACAGTTTAGGCACATCTATCCAATATTATATAAACACACATAATTTGCGATTAAATATAGTTCAAAATGAGGTGTCTTGTTAGACTGTTGGTTTTATCTATTTATAATAATTTCAATTTTTTTAAAAAAACTGTGTTAAAACTGTGAGAAGAGGCGACACAAAGTAAGCATAATAAATTTATGTAAGGACTTTTATCTATTAGTAGACATGCGTTAATCGTTATTTATTTGTTAATCACAGCGCCTATGGATATTAAGAATTTGTCGCTTAAAAACGAAGAAATAATTTACGAGATCCGACTAACATCATAAGATCACATCACAGCGAATACTTGTGTAAATTAAATATGACAATTTGTAACACGCATAAATTTCTTATAAATTCTTGACTCGAAGTAACGAACTAACAGTAATTTTTAAGAATATTATGATTTAATTTTTGTAAGCATTATAAAGTACTTAACATTGTTATACTGAAGAAGACCGGTTTTGTTTTGTATTTTTAATATATTGTTTATTGTCTAAGATATATATGGAATAAATTTTAATTGGATACAACATCTCACGTATTGCTCGATAAGTTGGCCTTTTTTGAATACATTAATTGTTTTATAAAATATGAAATCATTAATTAACTAGTCAAGTTATTAGAAATATTGAATTATTATTTAAAATTAGCAGTACAAAATGTAGTACAAAAATTATTAAAATTAAAAATTTTTAAATTGAAGCTGTATCTATGATACACAAGTTGTATTGGTATAAATAATGCATATATATATTTGCTAAATGTACAGAAATGTTAATACATGCAAAATTAAATATTTATATTTATGTAAATAAAATTTATTTATATATTTGTAATGTATATTTTATAAGGTTTTATATTTTATAAGCGTAAGTACGTAACAAAAAGTTATTTATAATAGATAAGGCTAATAAAACTGTAATTTATAGATTAAACATTTATTTTTATATGATGTTTAAGATTTTTATTTTATTAAAAATTATATTTGTTTGGCAGTTTTCTAATTTACTGACTTTAATAATCTTATCACAATAACAGCCTAAGTTTTTTTTTCGGAAGACGTACAACTTCTTAGTCTATCAATTATAGATAATTTAAGTTCATTATTTATATGTATTGTTTACGAATTGTTAACAGTTTATAGCGTTTACGATATGTCAACGGTTTAATTTAGGAATATTTTAGAGATAGTAATTACGTCAGCTTGCGAATTAAAACGAATTTTACTTTTACTTTTAGTTTAATACACTGAAAAATATAGATCGAAACGTTTGTTAATTGAATCTAAATAAATTTATTTTCGAGTACTAATACCCTGCTTCAGCTCAAACCCCTTTTATTTCAATAGTCTTATATTTGTTTGTTAAATATATTTAAATGCAATGCGGACATGCCAAGTTTTCATATCTTATTTCTGTTTGAGAGTCATTTATATAACTTTGAATTTGAGTAAAATTTTCTTTTAAACTACATATCATGTAAAAATGTTTTAAGAATTATAGAAAGTTTAATTAATTTAGTATTTGGAAATTGCAGCATATAATTTACTATGCTTAGGGTTAGTTGAATTAATCTTACATCAGTTTTTATTTTATCAAACTTTTATTATGTAACAGTTAAAATATTTTTTTATGTATTTGGCATATTTTTTTATTTTTGTGAAGATTTTATTAGACTATTCATTGTAAGATATACAAAGTATAAAAATTAACAATTACGTTTAATTATACATATATTTATTTTTAGGAAATAATTGCTAATGATGTTAATGTCGGAATAGCGATTATTATGATTATCTTGTTTTTAATTATAGATAAAATTGGATCTAAAAAATGTGGAAAACTTCAATGATCCTGAGTGTTTTAGCGACGCTGATGATAACTAAGCTGACAGAGGCTGGTGAGAATTTTAATTTTATTATATTAATGATACAATATGCAATTAATAATATACGATTTATCTAATTTATTAGAAAATGTAGAATAAATTTTAATTAGTTTTTGATGCAAATGATTAAAAAATGATGCAAATGATTAAAAAAATGTTATTGCAATCATTTTGCACGCAAGTAAATTCTTTACTTTTGCGCCATAATATATTACTATTTTATAGATTTATATTAAATATAGAATGTGTATGCCTTCAGATTTAAAATTTCTTCTCTATTTTGTTCCATTTAATTGTTATGGTTATTATTTCATTATTTAAATGTTATGGTTATTATTGCTTTTATTGTCAAATTAATTTTGTGTTCATTATATTTAAAATGTATAATGAGAACAAAAAATACTGAAATAGTATCTCATATGGCAAGTGCGGAAAATAACAAATTACATCGCGCGTGAAGTTGCCACATGAGCCGAAGGCTTATGATGCATGCACACGAGTACGAGTTATGTCAATCGAGAAGAAAGATGATTTTTTCCGCACTAGTGCGGTAAAGTGTAACCATAGTAACTCATTACCGCACTAGTGCGGTAAAATAAATAATAAAAATGCTTTCCTTGCACTAGTGTAGTAAAGTAAGACATATATTGAATCGTTGAGAAATAAACCATTTTCCGCACGCTAAACAGCAACCAAAAATCAAACTTTCGCAACAAGCGTTGCAAAAAAGTATTAATTTGTATTACAGGCTATTACAAGTATAATCAAAGTCAGTACAAACGAAGCAGTATCCGCTTTAAGTGTACAGAGGAAGGTTATCATGCCGATCCGCATGACTGCAGGGTTTACTACAGATGCGTGGATTGGGGCAACGGCAGCCCACTGACAAGCTTTAGATTCGAATGTGGAGTAGGCACCGTATTCTCAAAAAATAAAGGAGATATTTGTACACATCGGGGAGATAGTGGTCGGTTTGAATGCGCCGGATCCGAGAATGAACTTGATTCCAATCTACATGGTCCTCCAGAGGACCCCATACGGACAACAACAGTAAGAACAACCAAGCGACCACAACAAACCATGACACAGTCTCCGGTGACTATATCACAACCTACAATTATGACCCAAGTTATTACGACAACTAGAAAACCGGAAACAGAACAATCACCGCTAACAAGTCGACCAACTATAGATCAATCAGAAAATAACTGTAAAAACAAACTTGAATGTACACAAGAAGGACTTCTAGCTGATACTTGTGACTGCAGAAAATTTTATAGATGCGTAGATAAAGGTTACGGAAAGTTTAAAAAGTATAATTTTACATGTGGTTTAGGGACTGTTTGGGACTCAGAGATTCAAGGGTGCAATCATGCTTGGGCTGTTGCAAAAAGAAACTGTAAACAAAGTTTGGATAATGAAGGCAATGTCAATAATGGTAGTCAATGGAATGGTAATAATGGCAATGTGGATCAATTTGGTCAACCTGGACAACCGGGACAATTGGATCAATCAGGACAACCCGGATATTTGGATGATCAACCGGGTCAACCAGGACAACCGGGACAATCCGGATATCTGGATGGCCAACCAGAACAACCAGGTCAACCAGGACAATCAGGTCAACCTGGACAACCTGTATATCCAGATAAACAACCGGGACAACCAGGACAATCCGGATATCCGGGTCAACTTGGGAAACCAGGTCAACCTGGAAAACCAGGACAACCGGGACAATCCGGATATCTGGATAACCAACCAGGACAATCCGGATATCCTCATAGACAACCGGGTCAACCAGGACAACCAGGTCAACCCGGATATCCCCATGGACAACCGGGTCAATCAGGACAACCAAGTCAACCAAAACAACCAGGACACGGATATCCAGATGGACAACTGGGACAATCCGGATATCCAGATGGACAACCGGGTCAACATGGACAACCGGGACAATCTGGATATCCCGGATATCCAGATGGACCAGGAGGACCAGAACAACCGGGATCAGGTTCTTCAGATTCTGCAAGCACGCCATGTTCTTTTGGAACTTCTGATACTTCAGGTTTACCGGACTCTGCTGATAATCAACCACTAATAGGTATAGTATAACTCAAAAAATTGCTAGCATAACATACATAAATGTTAATTGCTAATTTAAAAAATACAAAATTTTTTTCAGATCGTTGTACAAAAGAAGGCTTTTTTGCTCATCCAAATGATTGTCGCAAATTTTATCGATGCGTCAATGATGGTACGTCCTTTACAAAATACGAATTTCAATGCGGTGTTGAAACTGTTTGGGATTCATCTATTCAAAGTTGCAATTACATTTATGCCGTACCACAATGTAACCAAACAAGTAATGTACATACAAATAAACCTGATACATCGTTAAATGAAGTTGATAGTGCTGATAGGCCAAACACGAGTGAATTACCGCCGATACAATCTCCAGAAAGTTCTACTATTCCAACAGGATCTTCAAAGCCGGAGATTTCGTCTTCGACTCAGCAAGCTGTTAGCACTACGAGCAAACCTATTGTACCGTCTCAAACTACATCTGTTTCTTATTTGCCACCTGTTAATAGTACATATCCATCTTCAACAGTACAAGTTGACGAATCTATTTCCTATTTGCCTCCCGTACCTCAAACAACCACTTCTATATCCTATTTACCACCTTCGAGTACTGCAACTACAGACGTAATGTCTGTAAATGGCTCTACACCCGAATCTGTTTCATATTTGCCACCCAGTACTAGTACATTTACAGATATAAGACCTGCAACGACTACTTTCCCAAGTTCTATATCGTCCATTATTTCTTCGCCTCAAACTGAAAAATACGAATGTACTGAAGAAGGTTTCTTATCAAATCCTAGTAATTGTAAAAAATTCTATCGCTGTGTACATGATCAATCCGGGTATCATAAATATGAGTTTGAATGTGCTCCAGGGACAGCATGGGATCAATCCGTACAAACATGTAACTATATTGAACAAGTAGCTTCGTGTTCAATAGAAAATAATGAGATCGATCACGGCTCGCCATCTAGCACTTCCATATCTGAACCTCTTGTCACGAGTAGTTCTACAACTACTGCTCCTAGTCAAATTACTACGACTATCTCATCATCCGCAGTTCCAATTTCTACTACAGTTGCCAGTATTCCAGAGACAACTACAGAATTGTCCACGTCGGAAGGAGATAAAACAGAAACTTCGTCAACAACAATCACTAACGTCGGCGAAAAACCAGTTTCAGGAGAGTCAGAAGAAATGCCTGAAAGCTCTAGTACGGAAAATTTATCCGAGTTCTTGCCTGAACAGTCTAGTTCCGAATCAAGTGAAGATTCATCTTCATCTACGGAGTCACATATATCAGATTGCACGACTCAAAAGCTAAACAACACGATAGTATGCAATGATGAAGGTTTCTATCCGCATCCAATTCGATGTGATAAGTTCTACCGCTGCGTCGATAATGGCAATGGTTTCAACGTACATCATTTTAACTGCCCACCAAACACCATATTTGATCCTAGCATTAGCGTATGCAATTACGTTGAATCTGTTTATCCTGTGAGAGATTGTACTACTGTTAACATGGAAGCCACAACCGAGTCTTCGTCAGAACAGTCAACTAGTACTATACAAAGCACAACTCAACAAACAGAAGAAAGCACTGAGTCCAGTTCAATGTCATCTACAGAAGGAACTACTATCACTTCCGGCATGGAATCCACAACTATGAAAAGTACCGAAAACATAACAGAATCCACAGCTGAATCAACCATTATCACGACAAATGGTGCCACTGAATCTAGCACTGAGCAAACTGAAACTACTGTTTCTACTGAATCAATGTCTGAAACACCTATGACTGAATCTCAAGAATCTACAACGGAACAATTGACGACAGAATCATCCAACACGGAAAATCAAGAGCAATCAATAACTGAATCACAGGAGCAATCAACGCCAGAGTCTCAAGAAACACAGTCTACGACAGAGTCTCAAGAAACACAGTCTACGACAGAATCTCAAGAAACACAATCTACAATAGAGTCTCAAGAAACACAATTTGCAACAGAGTCTCAGGAACAATCGACTGAATTAGCAGAGCAGACAACGGCGCAACCAGCAGCTGTGGCACCTTGCGCTGTAGGCAATTTGACGAATGACCAGATAACTTTAGTTTGTCCTACAGGTTTCCGAAGGCATTCAAAATATTGCAACTTATTCTATCAATGTACTTCTGAAGAAAATATGGAGATTAAGATTCTTGTATTAAGTTGTCCTGAGGGTACTATATTTGATGAGAAAAATATTCAGTGTCTACCTACAGACAGAAGCAGCGATCCGTGCACAGGCGCTACAGCAAATGCTAGATTGTATAGAAGAGTAGAAAATAATGCTTTATTACCTGTAAGTAATTCTAATCAAATAATTAATTGTTGTTATAAAAATAACTGCAATATGCTTTTTTCATGTTTTAGATAAAAGTATCATCAAATCAGCTCTGTCCGGAAGAAGGACATTTCCCTTATCGACAAGGTTGCAGTAACAATTTTTATAAATGTAAACGTGATATTCGGAACAACTTACAAGGATACTTGTATAAATGTCCCAAGAACTTTATTTATTGGTCGGTTTCTAGAAGATGCGAACGTGTAACGCGTCTTCCAATGTGTACGCATTTGGCGTACAGAAACACAACTAATTGGAATGATCGATGGCAAATACCAACTGAAGACTTTAATCTTTCCTCCAGAATGTTACGTCATGAACTGTTCAATAATCCGTCCCTTCTTTTCTAGATTTTATTATATATAAGTTACGAGAAGTTTGGCCATAAATGTTTAGACGATATCCATACGAGGTGTGTTCAAAAAGTATCGCGAATTTTGAATTTCCGCGGGTTACGTATATTCGATTTTCGATTTTTTTGTGGCGTTATGTTGGTACTCATGTTTCTCATTTATGCCGACAAGTACGGCCATTTTGAATGTTCAGTTAATTTTTGACAGCTGCTTTGCTTGCACGTGTTTTGGCTCGTCTTCGATTTTTGCCTATTCCAAAAAATGGATCAAAGAATCTGTATCAAATTTTGTGTGTTGTAAACCCATGATTCGTCACCAGTTATGACCCTCTGGAGCAAATTTGGGTAGTCGAGGACAGAGTCCAACATCTCCTGAGCAATGTTAATGCGATGCTGTTTTTGGTCGAAATTGAGCAATTTTGGTACGAATTTCGCGGCGACCCGTGTCATGCCCAAATCATTGGTAAAAATCGAATGGCACGAGCCAATCGATATGTTTAGGTCCTCAGCAACTTCGGTGATTCGACGATTGACCAATACTATTTTCTTCACTTCATCAATGTTTTCGTCTGTTGTTGACGTGCTCGGGCGTCCGGCACGCTCTTCGTCGTTCACATCTTCTCGGCCCTCGGAAAACATTTTGTACCACCGATAAACGTTGCTTCGGTCCAAGGTAGCTTCACCATATGCCACAGTCAACATTCGGAATGCGTCCGCGCACTTAATTTTGTTTTTCACACAAAATTTGATACAGATTCTTTGATCCATTTTTTGGAATAGGCAAAAATCGAAGACGAGCCAAAACACGTGCAAGCAAAGCAGCTGTCAAAAATTAACTGAACATTCAAAATGGCCGTACTTGTCGGCATAAATGAGAAACATGAGTACCAACATAACGCCACAAAAAAATCGAAAATCGAATATACGTAACCCGCGGAAATTCAAAATTTGCGATACTTTTTGAACACACCTCGTACATCCTCAGGTTAATAGTAATCCTTAATAATGATTTTAAATAATTAGGTACTGTAAGAATTAGCAAAATTATAATCATGCCAATAAATTATTAAAAATAAGTGCTAGAACAACTGAAGATATTGAAGTAGGTAACTCTTATTTCTTAATATCTATTATATATATATATATATATATATATATATATATATATAACGTGCACACAGGTATATGCATATACCATATATAATATGTATATATATACATATACATATACCTGTGTGCACGATATATATTTGTATGTTAATTTTTTTTATCAATCACGAAATTTCTAAAATCTTTTTGGAACTTTTTTAAAATTTTATTTATACTATATTATAAAGAATTATATTCGTTAGTGCAATATTACCTTAATATATAATACTTCATAAAACATTTAATAACATGATTATAGAAAATCTTGATTAAAAATATAAGAGATTTTTGGCAGTCATCTTGAAGATTAATAATAATTATCATTAAGATTAATAATAATTAAACTGCCATTACGCAATCTTAATTAGTTTAGATGATTATAAAAAATGAATATATTAATGATTATCGATTATTAGATGTCAATTTTGCAGCAAATCTCGGCTGGAAAAATATGTATTTTTATTAAAATTGGAATTTATACATTTATTTTCGTTAGAAATGTCCGCAGCAACATCCGCGTATGGCTTTAGGCCTTTCTTATTTGGATTTATATTATTTATTTTTATTTTATTATTTACTATGCTAATTTACTTTAGATTATAAGCTTTATCACTACATTAGATCAAAGGAAAACATATATATATATATATATATATATATATAAGAAATAACGTATTTATATAAAGAGTAAGTAATCTCTAATTTTTATAAAATTATATATATATATTCATGTGCAATTACATAATTATATTCGATACTGGGGATGGCTGCGATATACTCGTATGCAATATTTGAACTGTATATGCGCATAACGATGTAGTATTTTTCACATTTAAACTGCCAAAATTTAAGTTTTATGTATAACATGTGTGCATGAAAAAGAACACATTGTTAGCAAAATTTAGAATCTTAATAGTAGTTTAATAGTAGCAAAATGTTGTAAGACGGTCTGTAAAAATATTTACGTACAATGTATACGCGAATAAATTTTGTATAAATCTTTAAAACGTTTCTCGTGGAAAATTGATGCTTTTTCATGAGATATTATTTTAATGCATTAATCATGATTTAAGTAAACTTATAATATATATGCATAAATTAGCATAATTAATATTTATCCACTTTTAGTTGCATAATTTCGCGTGCTTATATTTTGATTTCCATGAGAAATTGGTATTAATAAAAAATAGCAAGAAGACGGAGATATAATGTGTCTTATTTCTGACCTTTCTTGTGGTTTAATTTAATGAACATATAATTTTCAGGCTTTGGATATTTTATATAAGTCATTAGTAGAAAATTATATAAATTTTTATATATTAAAGCTATCCTGCAACATGATGTCTATACTGAAACTGTATATTCTTGGTGTCATTCTAAGTCGAAAAGTCTTAATACATATATGCCCTAAAATCGATTGTTTAAAATTACAGCGAAAAAACAAAATTGCATGAAACAAGAACAATATTATTTATTGAAGATAATATTATTTATTGAACGATAATATTAAATAATAATTAACTACTTTATAAATTGTACGGTAAAGTAAGTCACACATTGAATCGTTGAGAAATAAACCACTTTCCGCACGCTAAATAGCAATCGAAAATCGAATTTTCGTGACTGGCATTACAAAAGATAATTGCTTTCATTGTCATAGTAAAAAAGTAAATAATAAATAAGTAATAATTAAAAATATAAATAAATAAGTAAATAATTACTTTTGCATTTTTTCGCTATAACTTTAAAACAATCAACTTTAGCGCCTATGTATACTAAAACTTTCTGACTTAGAATACACCAAGAATACACAGTTTCAATGTGGACATTACATTGCGGGATACCCTGTGTATGTATATTTTTGATTTTGAGAGGTTTCTCGATACTTTCTGACTAGAAAACTCATATTATATATTATTAAGTTAATTAATATAATGTCACATATTATGCTATTTATGTATGTGAAAGATAGAATTACTCAATTTCAAATATTACAATAGATATAAATAAAATTTAATTTTAAAGTTTATTTGAATTAGATATTTAATCTACAAATTATTGTTTAAAAATTATTGATATTTATGAACAAGGCGTGTTTGATGTTTTTTATGAATATCATTATTTTATGGATGTTAATATTATTTATTAATTATAATTTATCAACTTTTTATTTTTCCACTTACATTTATATATAGCGTCTTATAAAAATATATACTTTTGTTTAAAAAATTAAAGTTTTATTTAGAAAAAACTTACATATGTACATAGTTTTTAATTTTGTTAAAATTATTTCTATAAAATATATAATTATAACTTACATAAGATATGTTATACATAATACGCATAAATATTTATATAAAATATTATACTGTTATAGTCTGAATGACTATAACTATATTATATTGAATATAGTTTTAATAATAAATTAGTAAGTCGGCCATTATGCAATCGTTTGAGAAACGTTCTTACGCTCTTGCAAAGCGCTTATCGCGAGAAGACGCAAACGCGACAGAATATAAGCGTTATGCCGGAAACCGCGGATCGCAAGCGAAGAAATAACCTGCTTCGCTTGCACCTAGATAAAAACGTGTGAATAAAAATTAGCCAATAAGAGAGCTTTTCTACATCTTCCCCCAAAAGATGTAGAAAAGGACAGAAGACCACTGTGAACGGAGAGCGAGGCGATAAAGACAGTCGCTAACGAAAATCCAGAAAGACAAGTCGCTAATCAGAATCTAACTACGATTTGAAGACAAGCCACTGAATACAAAACTATCACCTGTAATCTAACTGCCGAGTGCGGGCATACTTAACTAATCACCCAGGTGGGATTAGACAGAATTAAACCAACTCAAGAAATAAGAGAAATAAAAGATTTATTCAAATAAACAATTGGAGTTCGTCAAAAGTGGAGACGCCCGCCGATCCTAGAATCCTCATCCTTCAGTCGGCTAAGACCCAAACTCTCCGTGCCTTCCCGGAGGCACAACAATACATATGTTATATAAATTATGGTATATATTATATAAAATACAAATATTATTAAGAATATAAAAGGACTTCCGTTTCCGGTGCAAATGCGTTGTACACGTGGAGTGCGAGTGTGGATATTTGAAGAGGATTAGAGAGTATAGAGTGCAAGTGAGAGAGGAGAGGATAGTGTGAGGAGGAAGCGGGGGAAAAGTGTGAGAATAATTGAGGAGAAAATAGCTGGAAGGAGGAGATAGGAAAGAGAGAAATAGAAAGGCTGGATGCTTAGAACATATAGATATGGAAGGGGAATAGGAGCGCAAAACTGTGTCCAAGTTGGGTGCGAGAGAGAACCACGTTTTTAAGGAAAGAGAAGGGTAGATTGTTACCTCCGTTCGCAATGCGCAAACGCGAATTAGCGAAAGCACCAATTACATTTCCAGTTTCAAACAGCGCGGTGAGCGTGACGTCACCGTGACGTCATTTACGTTTACGCATTGCAAGCATAGGTTAAAAGCTATCTTTCTCTCTCGCCAACTTGGACACAGATTTTTACCATGGAGAACAATAGCAATTCCCCTTCCAGGTATATATGTTCTAAGGCTGGATGACAGCTGATTGTGGACAGGGAGTATAGAAACATAGAGAGGAAGCAGGGTAAGGAGAGAAAAGAGAGCAGGCGCTAGGGAATATCTAGGAAATACAGAAAATAAGAAGCAAGGAGTAGGGAAAACATAGAAGAGTAAATAGGTAGGTAGAAGGAAAAAGAAAAGGAGAATAGAGAGGAAAGTGGTTAGGAAAAGGAACATAAGAGCTAAAAAGCAGGATGAGTGGAAAGAAGGAAGGAATTGGATCTGAGGGAGGATGATTAATAGGAGTGATGAGTAAAAAGAAAAGAAAAGAAGTGGCAGCTTAGGAAACATAGAAAAAT